AACTATCCAAAGTGAGCCATGATGATGAGCCACCTAGAATGGTGGCCACATTGCAAATTTGACTGATAGAATTCAATCTGCACCGAAGACGAGACTGGAAACATTACACTAGCCAGTGACTAGTGTTCAATCAAAGTATCCTGTACAGTCCTACAAGAGATCGAACAGAGCCCGAATAGCTCAGTGGTAACGTCTCTGACTGGGCTGTTGGGTAACGTAGGTTGGAATCTTAGAAGGAACATGAATTCCTTCAAGGTCACAGATACGCTTTGCTGATGAGTGCAAACTAGCACGAAACCAAGGTCCATTGCTTCCTGTGGCCGATCGCCTCTAACCATCTAATATAAACGGTTCTATAGAAATGCCGTATAAAGAAGGTAAATCAGAGATTTTACATAGGATGCTCGCCGACCACACATATGGTCCGCGGTTCAATTCCCAGCCGACGCACTCCTTTACCTCGCTAAGCCGGTAATAAGGCGGGTAAAGAGGAAAAGTTGGGCATCAGGCTAGCAATCCCATCCTGTTAAAAATAAACATCACTGCTAGTAAAACTTCAAGCCTCTAGTTTGAAGCCCTATGTTCCACTGGGAACGTGGATGAATAAAAAACAAACAAACATAGGATTCTTAATGAGTCTGGAATCAGGATGGCATTTAAACCAACCAACTGTCTTAGAGATGAACTTTGTCAGCCTACTGACCTGATAAATACAATTAAGAAAAGTAATATAGTTTACCATAACATAAAATATAATGACTGTGAGGTCAATTACATATGTCAAACTAGTAGGTTGAGGTCATTTAGACGCAGAATGACTGACTAGCTAAGTTAAATAGCCTACAAAAAAAGCTCGGCCAATGCACTGCATTCCCTTGCATGTATTCACAAAATAGGGTGGGTAGGATAGGGTGAGAGTATTAAAAGGTAATATAGTTATGTGAACGGGGAGGTTAATCACTGCATCTTTGTTCATCGAACCAACACCCAAGACATGAAATAGATATGAAGCAAAGACTACACTGAAGATATCGAAAGTTTCAATAGACAACAAGGGAGAGAAACATATGCTTATGTATACATAAACCAAATTGTGAAACCATTCGAGTAAGCTAGTACAATGTTAAAGTAATAAACTGTGCTTGAAACGTTATCCGATTAATAATACTGTATCAGAGTGTGTTATATCAAAGAAACTTATCGATTATGTAATAAAATTCTACCACGCTGCTAAAGTTCTATAGTGACGCTGATTCTCGTAGAAAACCACTAGAGAACGTTATCCCTACATCTATATTACTCTGAGAAAGCTTTACCAGGCAGCATAACTTTTAAGATGTCTTGTGTAAAACGTTTTTAATTGTTCAGTTCTTTATACTTTATTTATAATGTGTTCTAAATAAGCCAAGTCTGCCATAATAAGAAAACTCTTAAGGAACCAAAATGAAAAATAAAGTTAATTTATTATCCTTGAGCGTATGTTTCATACTTTGGACGTTTCTTTGTCAATCTAGGTATCATAATCATTATCTATATTAATGCATTGATATAGGTATATATATAAATTAAAACGAAATGGACTGCAGTCAATCCGTGATAATAAGAAATAAATGTATTTATTAGTTATATTTCATGAAAAGAAAATTAATGCCCAGTATTCCACTGAAATGGTATTGATAATAAAAGGTTAATATTTACAGAAATTGATGAGAATTTCATCAGCTGTTAAAATTTCCTTCCTTTTCATACCTTTTTCTGGGTGTTATTCAATATCAGGGTACCTGCTTAACTCAATAGTCAGATAGGTAGATAGTTAGATAGATGGATATATAGATAGTTGGATGAAATTAACTCGCTTTATTCAAATTTATTATCATCATCATCACCCCATTATTTCTTCAAATTTACTATTTTTATTATTTCTCAGAGGAAGAAATGAAAAAAAAAATTATTTGTATTTCATGACATGAAATGTGAATGAATATTAACTTTTTGACAGGATTTTTATTTTTACTGTCAGAAGAAGGATTAGAAAAGAAGACAAGAAAGGTAGCAGATATAGCAGAGAAAAAGGGGAATAGAGTGTTTAGGAGAACAGTACAAGACAGATGTAAATGGTAAAATGCCATTATTATGCCATTTGTTCGATCAAAATTCATTTTTTATTTTTATTTTCTGTGAGTTGAAAAACACCAGTCAAAATAAGGCTGTTGAGTAGACATTTCATAATTTAATAGAGACAGATGGATGAGTAGAAATGGGTAGATTATTGTTATTATTATTATTGTCATTACTTATTATGACGGTTAAAGTGAAAAATGAGAGGAGATTAAGTGGATAGATCAACTGGAAACTTACATAACTGGACATATGAAGAAGGAGAAGGAGAATTGAGTTAATGGGAAGAAAGGCAAAATATTTTTACGTGCAATGCACTTAAAATTTAGATGTACAAAATAATCGGAGAGAAAGAGTGGTGGAGACAGAAATAAGTGGAAGAAAAAAGTCATCTACACAAATAACTGATAATTTATCATTGATATTTTGTCCCCTAGGGGGCTATTTCATCAGAATGTTTTATATATGTATATATACTTTTTACTCCGAAATGATATTAACATCTTATTTATTTAAAAAATTCTCTTTATTAAAAAGAAATGACAAATGATGAGAGATGAATCGTGTGAACAGTTAAATGCCTTCTGTAATGGAATAATTCTATTTGATGTATGGCACACTCACACACACAAAGAGACAGTGACACAATGTTCATAACTGGATGACGTTTCAAGCTCAATTTGTTGCTCATAATCATATCGAAGTATTCACACGACTTCCTAACTTGCGTTACATAGTTTCATGGCACACAAAATCGAAGACTTACAAGCGAAAACCGACAAACTGGTCGAAGAAGCAGCAAAGACAGGACTCCAGGTAAACATAGACAAGACGGAGGTCATGAAAATAACCAACCAACCATCAACAGCAGCAGCAACATCCAGCGCCAATCACCATCAACGGGAGGCATTTGAAAGAGGTTACTTCATTCACTTATCTAGGGAGCATTGTCTCAACTACAGGAGGAACGGACGAGGATGTCAAATCGAGAATCGGGAAGGCGAGAAACACATTCATCAACCTGAAACCAATCTGGAAATCTTCGTCACTCAACATCAACAACAACATTCGGATATTCAATACAAACGTCAAGTCAGTTTTGCTATACGGATCAGAAACTTGGCGGGTCACAAAGAATATTTCCAACAGCCTGTTGCAGACCTTTATCAACAACTGTCTTCGTTCTATACTCACGATCAGATGGCCGGAAAGAATCACCAACAAGAAACTATGGGAACAAACAAAACAGGAACCAATCGCCCAAAAATATGCAGGGGAAAGTGGAGATGGATTGGACACTCGCTGAGGAGGCCGTTGGGTGACATCACGCTTCACGCCAGTGCTCGAGTGGAACCCGAAAGGGAAGCGGCGAGTGGGACGTCCAAGGGTGACGTGGAGGAGATCGTGTGAAGAGGAGTTGAAACAGTATGGATTAACATGGATGCAAGTGAAAAGTACAGCAGAAGACAGAAGCAAGTGGAGGCGTGCAGTTGAAGCCCTATGTTCCACTAGGAACCAAAGGAACAATAATAATAATATAATAAAGCTGGATGGTTTGATTGCGAAGCTTTCGGTGCTTTTCTAGACAATATATTCAGTGCGAACTTTAATGTGAAGTCATCTTATTTGAGTCCTTCGTATTTAAGTTGCTACTGAAGATGATGTCTAGAAAGATATTACGAAAGCTTTGCAATTAAATCACCTGGCTCAAGGGACGCAACCACATCAAAATAGTTTGCAGATTTTTCATCCTATTCTTTTCTAAAATGTAGTTTTTTAGAAATCTAGGATACGTGTTGCATTGATCCTATTGAATATATAGGCGAAATGAGGAAGCTGTGCACCGTAAACTCCTTTCTGTCTGATTTTAAGCCTTTACATGTTAAGTTAATAATGTCATACTATGAAGAAAATAAAAGACAATTCAGCGAAGAAAATTTTCTTTTTGACGAAATCATCAACTAGGCTGTACATTCGTGTATTTATATAAAATGTATGAGGAAGTTCCAGAATTAATTCCGGTGAAAGATCAAATTAATAAAATTACTAAGTGTAATAAGCAGAAATAGCTAGTGATACTATTCTAGAAATATTTCAGGTCAAAGTTCAAATTAAAAAAACAATGTGTAATAATTTGGAAGGTCGGGTGGGAAAGAAATAATAAGTTATAATTACTTAGAAGTGGCTTAAGAAGTGAGAATAAAAGTTGTAAATTACGTAGTACTCAATAGCACGAATGAAGAAAGGGTTAGAAATATGATAGGGTTGAAGCTAGTTAAGGATCAATTTAAAAAGTGTGAAAATGTACAAAAAGAACATATGAGAGTGATAATAGTGAATTAATTATTAAAGTAAACTAAACAGTGAAGTGGAAGATTAACAAAAATTAAAATGAATAAAAGCTTTTATTTTTTACTACGAGGAACGACCATGGTAGAATAAGAGACTGGACAAACCTTTTGTGTACAGAGATCAGGGTTGTATTGACAAATTACCAGCGCCTCTGCCATACACGAAAGCTGGAAGCTAACGCTCTTTGTACCATTTGGCCTGACCTTGTTGATGATCTTGAAAGATGACTCTGGTGGACGTTTGTGGCTTCAATTCACTAAGTGCTCGAAGAGTGAGCTAGTAACTGCCTTGCATTGTCCTTTTTGCTAACCATACCGGATAATCTTCAGAGATGCGTTTGAAAAGTGTGCGCTTTGTGCGGTCAATATAACAACTAGCTGCATATATTAAGCGGTTAGTGGAAGAGTTTTGCATAACACAAGGGCTTATTTTCCACAATACTAGTGAATCATCAGTTTTGCTTTCCTTAACCTTTAGACACATAGTTTTTATATTTTTGTGAATATTCAACTACTATTTTTTATTGAAAGTTCTAGACCTGGACGTCCGTCGAAACGTTTGGCTGGCATAGAAACACCAGTTCTTTCATCTGTTCATGATTCGTGTCATTCAAATAATTTCGGGGAGAAAGATACGGAGGAATCCAATCCAAAACAATCACGTACCTGTTCAACTGAAAGTGAGAATAGCAGTAATGATCAACAACAAACAGATCAGATACCATGGCTGAACTTTTATTCTAATCTGTCCACATATCCAATACTAACTCCACCTACATCCAACCCTTCTCTTCTTTCTAAATCAAAGCTACTTGGACACCTTGAATCTCTATATTCATCATTTATGAAATATGCTCTTTCAGCATATCAAAGTAGACAGGAACATGGAAACAATTTTCCTGGATCTGTAGGTTTTAAGTCAATTTATGACAAACAGAATGTGGAAAATCTGGCCTTTCCATTAACCGATTTACCATGGTTGACACCGAATGGAGATCAACGCCTAGGAGATGGTTTGACTAGAGAACTTACACAGAATTCACCTAGAGAACCAAGGCCATTGGAAGACAATAATCAGTCAGGTAAAGTCAAGCTGTTATAATCTTCAATAACATATATTCATCTCTTAAAACTAACAATTTTCACTGTTCATCACTTATCAGAGAGCCTAATCAATTCAAATCATTTGGATTGCATCGTGTTATTTTACTGACTTTGTTGACTACCAATTGTGGTGTTGAGTAGATCGTCCATTATGGGTTGATTGTTTTCGATTTCCAAAGGAATGCTTACCTGGAACTTTGATTTGCAAATAAAAAGTTCAATTTTAAGAATAACAGCAGTCTGCTTGAGAAAAAGCACACAACAGGAATCGATTAGAATTAATAATAATAATAGCTTTATTCCAAACAGTATTTGTGGTACAGGTTTGGAATTTTCGGCGTGCATTACAATATTGCATCTAATTACCTCATAAATTTCATAAGATTTTAAAAATAAAAAGCAACAACAACAAGAAGAAAAAAAGATAAATAAAAGAAACTATTTGTTGCAGTGCCGCAGTAAGTTGATCGTGTCATACCTAACGGATTTCTCATCACATAACAGCTGTGCCAGATAAGGTATTGTGGAGTTTTTATACTTGGTAGTCCTGGCATATAGCTTCCTATAGTTGCTTCTAGTTCTACCAGATGAAATGCAAGGAGAGAGCTGCGTATGGAGAGGGTGTTCGGGGTCTGACAATATAGAATTTGCTAGTTTCTTACATGACATTATATGTCTATCCACAATTGTGTTAACCAGTTGGTTTAACGAAATCCCACTACCCCTACTAACAGCTTTTAGTGCCCTCTGCAGCGAAGCAAAGTCTTTCTTAAGTAGTCCAGGAAAGATTAATGGGGAGCAGTAAAGAGGGATGGGTAGAATACAGGAATTGACAAACTGAGAAAGTAAAGACTGCTTTATACCAGACTGCCTAAACTTCCTAAGGTAGAACGTTAAGCGAAACATCTTTCTAGTCACTAGCAAGATGTGAGAGGACCAGGAAAAATCGTAGGAAATACTCAGTCCAAGGTACTTGACATTAGATGTAGTTTCACCCTCTATGCCGTCAATGATAGTGGGACCAGGTGAGCTAGCTAGTTGTTGTAGGTCACGTTTTCGTCTGAAAGTGAAATTGACTACCTGACATTTAGACGGATTTAGCTTAAGACCGTTTGAAGAGGACCACTGACTGATTTCCGATAGAAAGTTATTTAATTTGGAACAATCTGACTGAGAGTTGACAGGCATGGAAACAGAGAGGTCATCAGCATGCTCAACAAAAGTGGCTACATCAGAATGGGGTAAGTCATGTAAGCAAAAAAGAAAACAGAAAAGGTGAAAGAACAGTACCTTGAGGAACACCAGCTAAAGTAAGTGAGGTAGTGGAGGATTTTCCAGTTTAAAATAAGAATAAAAGTACTTATAAAGCCTCTGGAAGGTGTTATATATATCGTCCTTCGATGACCCAAAGGAACTAATATTTTTTGGCTGTGTTCCCTTCAATTACATGGTTTTCATAGTGTAATTTTGATGCAAGACCTGAAATATATGCCAATTACTCACTGGTGTATTGCTAAATTTTCTTAGGTTTTATTATCGAGACTAACAGGTATCAGCTTGGTAACCCACCTTTTGGGATTATTAATTCCATTCATACTTTGACAGTTTACCTGATATGCCTTTAAAAAAATTAGCGGTTTCGTTATTTTATTTAGAATCTACTGTTTTCTTCTGTTACATGGTATAACTTAGCTAAGAAAAGTTGTCAGATTGTCCCCAATTTTCCATTTATGTAGCTTTCTAAGAAAGTAGCTGTTTACTGAGATGGAGTCATTCTAAGTTTCCATAAGATTAATCCTGATAGATGAATTTGATCATTTTATTTATTTCGACCAATTTCGTTTTTCTCGTTATTTAACTGGACTGGAATGTTGGCTTCTAGTACAGACGCTTCGACAATGTCTGAGGATTATCATGATGTTACTTGGTGGCTACAGTGTCCCAAACGGTTTAGTAGACAATGCTTTTGCTCCTGAAATGATAGATGCTGGGTTCCGGTCTCAGTGGGAAAATCATCACCCAGTGGAGGTTTTCAGCACATACAGATGACGAGTCCCAAAGAGGACGAAATGCGCTTTGTGGATTTCACTGCTGGTCATCATCCACCAAGTAAGATCTTGTCAGGTCATCTACTTTAAGAAGCAGAAAAAGAACACCTACAGTGAATCATATTTTTTTCCCAAAACTTTCTTTTTCTGATAAGAAACCGACGATATTTATTGTCATTTCAAATTGTTTTCTTTATTTTTAAAATAAGATTATCAACAATTATTCGATTCCAAAGTGCAACACTTTATAAATAAGTTTGTCGAAATGAACTATCAGTGGAAATCAAATCAGTCTACAACAAATCCATCAACTTCACTGCCGAATATTTTCGATTCACAGATAAAGGAACAACGACCTAGTGAACATTTACGAAATCATGCCTTTTTATCGTTGAATACGAATACAATTGGATCTTCACAATATCATGGATCTAGACCGTTAATTCCAACAAACTTTTCTTGTGAATCATTTAAGCAATCGACTCAAAGTATTTCTCCAACAATATCTACTACTACTAATGATGATGGATTTCATAATGAATCATTAATTGCTAAAACAGTCACGCCATTTGAGGAGTCTATAAAAGATTTGAAGCCGAATAAATGGCCTACTCTTAATTTCTCTGTTGAACAAATGAAGACAGTGAGCTTATTTTCATATAATAAATTAGATACTTTGATTTGTATTTAACTATTAGTTCGATTTATATTGTATCCCACTTATATTTAAGAGATCACTTTATGATGACGTTCAGATGTATTCTACAACAAGTCATATTTACAAGCTTAGAGTATTCTTAAAATTTTGGCGTACAGTATGGTTAGTGTTTCAGAAGAGACACTGATCACCAAACTATTTTTTTCAAGTTTGGTCACGGATTGATATCGGTTACAGAACCACTGATAGATGTTGGAATTCATGGGCTGTTGAGTCAGGTCCCAGTGGCTGAATGTTCTACGAGATCGTCTTGTGACCAGAAGGTCCTGAGTTAGAAATCCGGCGGGTGCGTACTACCGATAAGTCTCAAACCAGGACGAAACAGCTGTCCAGTACTCTATGGTTTTCAATGGTTCTCTGACTGATATCATTTCCGTCACTGAACTTGAATTTTGTTTAATTGAGATTTGTTTTTCTCGTCGACTGACTGAACCAAATTATCTAGCTTTTGTTGACATATCGACTTCTGGTATGGATGGTTCGACTACTTCTGTGGATTAACAGTGATGCTATCTGGCGGATGATGACCCAAGATAGAATCTAAGATAGGCAATTAATCTTATCTGGAGTTCACCAGGTGGATGTACCCTACTGGAGACTGAAGGTACATCCAGCTGGCGAGTCGCAAACTGGAGAAAATGTCTATCTTGGATCTCACTGCAAGTCACCATCCACCGAACAATATTTATGTTAACAATGTTCAGTTTCCTGACATGGACTTTAGCTGTTAGTAATTTGTCAAGAAATTTAATGGAAGCTTGCTGGGGGGGGGGAATAAAACCATTTAAAGTATACAAAATGTCTATTTAGCCAACTTTGTCACTTTATTATATTTAAGAATAAAGTTTGATATATATATATATATATAAACCACTTAAAAACGTGATTACTTATATTATTTCATTTTTTGTGTTCCTAGTGGAATATAAGGCTTTACTAGCGCATCTCTATTGCACTCAGTTCTCTGTAGTCCCTTTCACATGACAGCACAACTGTCTAAAATCTTTCATTTCCTTCTTTCATGATTTCCTCTAAGTTACCTTTAGAATCACATCCATACCATGTCTTCTCATTCGGGTTCCACTCAAAAACCTTGAGTGTAAGGTCACCTGAATAATAAAAGAATTATTCCTTCGAAGAGGTAAATGAGCACTGGTTTGAAAATTGTCAGTTTCTGATATGTTAGCTGATTAGCAGAGAAAATTTAAAATATTAGTCATAAGTAATGTAGAATGGAAAATGTTGAATACTTTCAAGTTTTTAACAAGACGTCACACTGACTGTTTCTTACCAGTGAACTTCTGAGCAACAAACAGATCGTTTACATTTCTGAACTATGTAATCAGAGTGAGTGCTTATAAGCACTTTAGGAAGTCCATTCTGGTGAGGAATGCTTGAAATGTGCTCAGGTGACTAATAAATATTTTCTTAATAATAACTACTATTATTATTCCCTCGGGTCCATAGTGGAACATAAAGCTTCAGCAGCACATCGCCATTTCGCCTGATTACCCATAACCTTCCATTTCCGCTTGACATGATCTCCTCCATATCATGCTCAGAGGACCAACTCATCGTTTTCCATTGTGGTTCCACTCAAGGATCTAACTGGTGTGTGTTATTCCACTCAGTGGTCTTCTTCGGGTAAATCGAATCCATTTCCAATTCCTTCTGCAAATTTGTCAGCCGATAGGTTCTGGTGTTGTTCGTTGGGGAAGTGGTGTATTACTTATTTTTTCTGACTGACCGTCTGATCTTCACTATGCGGCGAAGACGCCAAAGTTTAATTGTAATAAATGTTTTAGCACGAGGATCTGGAAAGCAAGGCGAGCTTTCATTACTCTCAAGTCTGTGTGGAGATACACACTCGGAACTCAGCATGAAAAATAAGATCCGGATTTTCAACTCCAGTGTGAAGTCGCTGTTAATCGACACGGATCAGAAACTTGGCGCGTCGTGAAGAGCACCTCATACAAACTACAGAACTTCATCAATAGCTGTCTTCGCTCAGTGCTACTCAAGATCAGATGGCTGGCCAGAAAAGATCAGCAGCAGGGATCTCTGGAAGCGAATCAACCCAGTGGGAACCAAATGTACAACAAATATGCACGAAGAAATGGGAGTGGATTGGCAATATTCTGAGAAAACCATCAAGTGACATCATAAAACAGGCCATCGTTCGAGTGGAACCCGAACGGGAAGCGGCGAGTTGGTCGTTAGTGCGAGGATGACCTGGAGGAGGTCATGTGAAGAGGAGATGAAAGTATGTGGGCAGACGTGGGGCCAGGTAAAGACTCTAGCAGAGAACCGAACGCAATGGGGACGCACGGCTGAAGCTCTATGTTCCTCTAGGAACTAAAGGAAAGAATAATAAATTTTGTAAAATTCTTCTTTTCTGTAGGATTCAAAAGAATCAACAACAGATGAAAACAGTGATGATGAAATTGATGCGGATTCAAGTGGAAAAAAGCACAACAAGTTTTCATCCAGTTTATTAAATGGTACTTATCAGACGATAAACAGCAATGATGATGATGATGCTAATGGTGAAAGTGATTGCGACAACAGTGACGAAATGAATCGGACAACCTCGAATACAGATATTTCCAAAACACTAGCTGTATTGAATTATTATTACTGGTGGTTGCAGTACATGTCAAATGAATTTTCACATCCAAAACAGTCAACAAATCAAACAATGGGGAATTTAGGGTCATCGAATTTTTCATCAAATGGCAACTATACTAAGTAAATTGAAGTTTTAATAACTTAAGAATGTGTATGGGATAATGTACTTTTAGCATTTTTAGATTATAAACGCCAAAAAGGGATTAAGTTATCGATTTATAACCGTATAAAGTGAATGCTTTGTGGTGACTGAATCCTAAAATACTTCCCTTTAAACTGCATCTTTTCGTGAAGGAACTAATGTATGTGGTTATTTTATAAACACGACAAATTTTCCAGTGGTTCTATTTTTACGTGGTGGAGTTGTTAGCCTCACACCCAATTCTCCCTCTTTACAGGCGTTACTAATATCTAAGTGAGGATTAGGGATGCGTCGACCATGAACGGAACCGCAGATCGCAAGCGTAGTTAGTGAGCATTCCACTGCTGCACTACTGACGAGCATTTTATATGAGCTTTAGTCAAATTGAGTGCTAGATGTAGATTAGGCGTGCATAAAGTTATAGCATGTTAAAAACTCATAGATATTTCGCGTGGTACATTCACTCAAAGATGAAATGAAACACACAACTACGAATATTCATAGTTAGCAATGAAAGACTTAGGATTCCATTCCAAAAAATTCTTAACAACTTAAAGAAAACTTAAAGAAAAAAGACATAACGTCTTCTTTTATATACGTTTGTTTTAATTCTGAGTATCACCAAATAAGTTAGGAACTAACGTGGCTGTTGAAGCATTGGAACTACTTATGTGTATCTTGCTGAGGTATTCAAAAGTTAAACTTTCATATACGATATTCATATGAACTGTCGTCAAGATTTGACAGAATAGTTCTAAAATATTTGGGCGCCGAGTGAGAAATAGACATTTAAAAAAATTATATTTGTAAAATCTCAGCGAGATTGAAATGAGTAATTCCAACGTTTCGTTCGGCAATCTGGTCCGAACTTCTTCAGGGAAATTAATCGAAATTCACATAACAGAGGTTTATATATATATAAAAGGAACATCACTTGTTTTTAAAAACTTTGTCCAATCATGAGTCGTTCAACAAGTATCAACATGTATAATAAACAAAATTTTATGAGCTGTGATCAAAATTTGACCTCGGACTTACAAATATTGGTCTACCTTTGTTAAACACTTTAAACAGAGTGTGTATGTGTGTGTGTGGGTAAACAGTTGTAAAACATTTCTTAACATTTCCATAAGAAGATATGGACAGTCGAGAATTTTGACCAAGTATTAATAATTAGTGATACATATCCATTTTTCATTTATCAATAATCTTGACGACAGTTCATTTGAATTATTTTGCAATCGAATTAAATTAACAAAGAAACTGTGTAATTGGCACAATCATCGTGTTTTCACTCTCCGTTGTCTGCAACAGAATGCATATCCTCAATCCGTAGCTGTCGAGTCACTTGATAACTTCAGTAGGTCGAATAAAGCAGCTCAATCTTCAGAAAGAAGACAAAGCAATAAGTCCGACAGGGTGCTTCTACTAAACTCTAATCCTAAACATCATAATTTTGAAAATACGTCTAATCATAAAATTCTAGATACTAACAGTTTGAACAGACATAAAGGCGTGATGTTATCTGATGCATAGGAAATCCTTATTAATAAATAAAAAATGGATATGTATCACTAATTATTAATACTTGGTCAAAATTCTCGACTGTCCATATCTTCTTATGGAAATGTTAAGAAATGTTTTACAACTGTTTACCCACACACACACATACACACTCTGTTTAAAGTGTTTAACAAAGGTAGACCAATATTTGTAAGTCCGAGGTCAAATTTTGATCACAGCTCATAAAATTTTGTTTATTATACATGTTGATACTTGTTGAACGACTCATGATTGGACAAAGTTTTTAAAAACAAGTGATGTTCCTTTTATATATATATAAACCTCTGTTATGTTAATTTCGACTAATTTCCCTGAAGAAGTTCGGACCAGATTGCCGAACGAAACGTTGGAATTACTCATTTCAATCTCGCTGAGATTTTACAAATATAATTTTTTACAGATGTTCACATACATATATATCTTATTTGTATTCGTTCAACTGAAAAGCCGAGATATTCAATAGTCTTTATTTCTCTTTCCGTTTTCATTTACAGTGACGATTGATTCAAGAAATAGTCGATCAGTTTCAATGTCGGTAAATTCAAACAAAATTAGCCAGTTACTCGAGATGTCAAAGAATTGGGTCATTAATCCAATACAGTCTGAATAATAAGAACTATAGTGACATTTAGCTCTCTCCCTCTCTATACATATATACATATATACCCTCACGTAGAATGTATACAGAAATACCTATGGTACACAACAGCCCCTCATATTCAATCAGTTTTATTCTCCCAATTTGGATTATTAGAAAACAAAATATAAAAAACTACCCTGATAACCATTTTGTGTAAACATTTAATAATAATCCATATTAGTCAACTTCATATAATGTACAGATTTCGTTTTTAATTATTAACCTAGTTAAGCTACTGATAAATATACCTTCGCTGAGACTTTACTTCTATAAACATTTTGAAGGCGCTATTAATTCAGGGTTTTTCGGGTAACGCAAAACTATGCCTAAATTATTAACACAATTTCTTATATTATATTATATTGTTTTATTTTTTGATTACAGCTTGATTCTACACCGTATTTTTGGTACAGCTATGGAATTTTGAGCATGTGATATCGGTAGCCCAAATTTTGCAGGCCGACCATAGATATCAGGTGTGCGTCGGCAGAGGATCGAACCCCGGACCATGTGCATGGTCGGCGAGAGTCCTAACCACTGTTCCACCGACTCACAAGTTCTTCTGTACCACAATAAAATTAATGTATAGTTAAATTGATGCCACGCACCAGGCGGGCCATTTAGTGGAACCCGAATAGGGAGGACAACATGTGAAAAGGAAGTGAAGGGTTGTGCACAGACATAGAGTCATTTGAAAGTGATGACAGAGAACTAATTGGAATGGAGATGTACCAGCGAATCCCTATGCTCCACTCGGAACGCATGGAGTGAAGAATAATAACAATAGTTTCAGCTGTATGATCAAACCGTGGTAATATTTTGCAACACTCTGGCGATTAGAAAATGAGATTTTATCAAGTCCATCTGTTCAAACGGTGATTGAGCAAGTGTCTGACGTTTAGAGAGATAGGCAACAGATTTAAACTGCAATAAAATTAGTGTTTTTCTTTGGAGTAAAGCTAATCAGGATAATAAATACTATAAAGAAATCGGTTATACTACTGAATTCTGATGCTGTTCAATACAGTGTAATGTCGTATAAACACAAGTGTCAAAAATCTTGGCATGAGATACTAAGAAAATACTCCACTTTGCTTCAGTGTTTCATCAAGTAGTGTGCGTCAGATCTCTTCATGCTTTAATGATCAAATCATTTCCACATGATACGAAATATTATCGTAGCTTTAATATTATTATAACCCATAAAAGTTTTAAAGAGTTTCCCTCTTTGATTGGACACTAGTAACTGGTCTAGTCCTTTCATTGCTACAGACTGAATAGTATCAGTCAGGTTTGGAATGTGGCCACCATTCTAGGTAGCTCGCCATCATGGTGCACATTGATTTGATGATATTAGCTGGATAGAGGCAATCAGCATGAAGCCTTCGACCTAGGTTTCGTGCTAGTTGGCACTCTAGTACAGGTGAACCATTTGTTTGCATCTTCTGGTGGTGTCATATTCTAGGACTGGGTTATTGTAGAATTTAAAATATTAGCAATAATAAAAGATTTCATTTTCCTTTATGTTACTTGAAACAGTCTTATTACTAAACAGTAGAGCATGTGCTAAATTAATGTTCATCAGATGGTGAGTTCAAATAAGCCTTCTTTTATTCCTTTAAATTCCCAGTGGAACATAGGGCTCCAAGCGAGAGGCCTGAAGTTTCATGAGCAATGGTGTTTATATTTTCACGGGATGGGATTGCTAGCCTCATGCCCAACCTTCCCTCTTTTCCAGTTTTATTACTGTCTTAGTAAGGTAAAAGATTGAGTCAGGCGGGGATCGATCCCTGGACCACATGCGTGGTCGGCGACGATCCTACCGCCGTGCCACCGACGCACTCAAATAAGCCTAACATAAATTACTCATATTTATATGAAAGAAATAAGTAAACTATTACAAGTAACAAGTAAGTATCACGTAGCTAGTGATCATATTGGATTAAGACAAAATTTGACCTGATTCCAACACCTTCCTCCCTCTCTCCTCAGAGAAGTGACAAAATATGATAAGCAATTCCATTATGTGTGCGTCGGTGGCACAGTGGTAGGACACTCACTATCCACGGTGTGGTCCAGGGTTCGAGCCCCGGCCGACGCATTCCTTTGCTTCGCTAAGTCAGTAATAAGACTGGTAAAGAGGGATGGTTGTGCAAGAGGCTAGTAACCCTATTCCGTAAAAAAAATAAACACCACTGCTATCGGAACTTCAAGCCTTTAGCTTGAAGTGCTATGTTCCACTGGGAATGTAAAGGAATAAAAAAATTTTCTTTAAATCTAATTATGTAAACGCAAGCTTTTTTTTATCATTCATACAGTTATCAAAATCTAAAAGTCTGTACATGATTTGTTCTCTTCACCAGTTCATCCACTTGACAACTTTAAAAAAAATTACCTCATCTTGAAGAACTGTGATTAACTGAATGTATATAAGCTGAGATTTTACAAATTCTGGTTTAATATTACTTTGATAAAATTATTAGCAATAGATGGCGAAACATCAATAAAAGCAATATATTTTCTTTCTCTGGGAAATACAATAATTTTTATTATAATGATGACCAGATCATTGACTTTTGAGTATTAGTTTGCTGGTCTCAAGTTCGATAACTGATTGACTTTAGTCATGGAACCATTAAACAGTCGTTTCGCACTAGCTTGGAACTTTTCACCAGCACGCCACCGAGGATCGAACCTAGATTCTCCTTGTTACGAGCTGACCTGGTAACTGACACTTAGAAATTAATATGATGCTCATTAGTGGCTGACTAAAGGAAGA